AGTAAATTATCATATCAGTAATAAATAAGATGTAGAGTCGCAAGAAATAAGATCAGATTACATTATCGCCTAATATGGGTCAATGAAAGAGTACGTTTAAATCTAATGGGTGGTCGATAAAGAAAGAACGTTCCACGAAACAATTCTCGCCATTTAAGCTCATATTAAACCTATAAGGACGGTTTGATGAAATTGGAAAAAGTCTAAAAGAGTTCGTCAGAATGCAAGTTTGGAACCGAGCTTAATCATACTATCAGATCTTCGACTTAGCTTTGGGTCTATATCGAAAAATCAGAAAATAGAATTTCGACGTGAAATTTCGCCTATGGATAGGTCGAATTATTTTTAGAATATTCTGAAAGTTTCAACCAAAAAAGAATGCTCCTTGCTCAAGATATTAAGTTTACATATATACATAAAGCTAAGTCGAAGATTCAGTAAAACAATCATAACTTGACTCAAAACGTTCATGAGAATGAACTTTGCTAGGCTTTTTTAAAGTCTTATCGAGATCTCCTTGTAAGCTCAATATGAGCTGAAACACCTTTTTACCTATTCAGACAATTTCTCTTTTTTTTTAAAGATCAGTCTTCTAATTCTCTAAAAAAAACCTAACTGTTTCTATTTGAGTAAATATAACAAATGATTGATCTAATCATCACAAAATTTTCCCTTAAATTACTTAGCAGTGCGTTCTGATTCTTAAATTTTGCTTAATATAAGGCATGCATGAGCGCATCTGTTATATTGTAGTCTGATGAATTTATATCGAGATTATTAAGAAGTCAATAGTCTCTATAGATTAAAAAAAAAGAATACAACAATACTGTGAAGACTATTGATATTTGAACTCAATCGAATTTATTATATCAGATGATTTGTTTTTTTTTTATGGCATAAATTGGCGAGCAGTTAAAGCAAAGAAAAAGAAACATTAATGGAAAGATTTAAATGTGCGATACACAGCGAAATAAGGAGAAAGTTGATTGAAATTAAAGCAATTTTGGCAATAAAAAGTACAGCTTTTTCTTCTCCTTGGAAAAAAATTGATTTTGAAAGTTATAAAAATTATTAATATTTAACCCAGTAGAAATAAGTGATTTGGTAGAGGAGTGAACGAAAAGAAAAATTATTTAAGTAGATCAACATGCGGTCGAACTATTCTAGAAATAATATTGAGCGACGTATTCTTTATGAACTGCTTGTTACATGCAAAAAACAAAAATAGAAATACATATCTACAAATTAAATTATTCAATGTATGTAGAAAACTTTTCATTGTACTTGTTTTTACTAGCGAACACTACAAATTTAAGAAAATGTTTGCTGATTTTTTTTGTTTTGCAGCTATGAATGCATATGCAATTATATAATCAACGATATAGAATAAAATCCTATGATACAACCTGAAATCCAGTTTAAAATCTGACACATATCGATTTTAGAAACATTTTGCCACAGACTAATTATTTTGACATTATAAATCCCATGAAGTTTGGTTGCGTTTTAGCTTCCTAAGAATTTGAAACAGGTAGACTCATGTGGTACGTTTGTTCGCACCACTGTCAGTATAGCGCACATTATGTCGAACGGTCTACCGACTTGTTTTTGTCCGGCTTGAATTATATGGAGAATTATTTCAAAAAACACACTAATAATTATCATAAAAATTTTCAAATGTTTAACGTTAATATTTGTAAATTTTTTCGAGGTTGCATTATTGTTTTAAATGATCTCGGATAGTTTATTATACGTCTTGTTTGTGATCTATAATGTGAATAATGAAATAAAAGATAATCAGAATGATTCTAAAAAAAGGATGAAAATAAAATTCTCATTTAATTAATTCATTTATATACAATTCATCATGTCAACGAAAGAAATGCGAATATTATATTATCATATCTCTTATTAATCTATATAATTAAATATTAAATTAATAATCAATTATGACATCTTAAGCTCATACTGGAAAGCTGGTGAAAGCAAAATGGTATCATTCATTGACATTATTCTCATCATTACAAAGATATGAAGTTCAATAACGTGATTATTGATTGTAGAATATTTTAGGTAAAGATTCGAATGCAAGAATTTAAATAGAATTTAATGAATATTGAAATTTAGAAAATTATAATTTTATTTGATCAATTGAAAATTTGATTATAAAGTATTGTTAGATTTTAATAAAAATCTTCAATTAATTTTCAAAAAAAAAAGATATTTTTACTATATGAATTAACTTATTGTAGTTCAGTTTCATATGGTAACACCTGTAAATAATTTTTTCACAGCACTCAAAAGTTTTCGCTTTCATTTTTTGTACAATACTTAGAGAACCATTAGACCATAAAGGCTCCACCGGGATATACATACAAGTTGCTATTTAGCTGAGATATCAAAGATTTAGTGGAATTTTCCAGTAAAATTTTTATTTTCAAATTTCGATCAAAATTTTTTCACAGGCACAGACCACAAGTGAGCTAATTTGAATATGAAGTGCTTTGGACATCGTAGCTCTGAAATATTTAGTTTTCAGCCGGAACGATATTCACTGGATGAGTACTAATGAGTAATAAAAAAGGTCAGTTATGATTTTCGATTAATTATTTAGATGTTCATGTAAAATTATTCAAATTTAAGAAGACATCTGCAGTACACATTAACTAAAGGAATAAATCTGTTTCTCAAATTATTTTAAAATGAAACTAACGGTTCAAATGATTTACCAGGAAGGATAGAACAATTATAGGAATATAAGCAATTTTTATCTTCGAATAAAATCGCTTTATTGAAAACATTATGGTGACTGTTAAAAACCATTCATTACATGGAGGTGTTCAGTTTAGAAAATTGATGTATGGTTTGCTGTGAAATGAAGAAAAGCTTCTAGGATATATCTCTTCTGCATTAGTGTTACGAAGAAACATATTCAATTGACTAATCACTTTTTCATTGATATCTAGTGGATTGTAGCTTATCGACCATGCTGATTCTGAATTTAACCATAAGAAATTTCATTAGATCTTTATATACTGTTTTTTAGAAAATCAATTTTCTAGGCAAATAAATTTTTTGTCACAAAAAATATCTTGATCTATGTTGATTACAGAGTACGTATATTGAATTGTCTAGAAAACAGTAAATTTTTCTATTTCAAATTGTTTGCTTTTTGTAGAAAATACAGCCATTCAAATAATATATTTCAATGTTTCACTGCGGAAACTTTCAAGATGATATTATTTTACTTAAAATTCATGTCCGAAAAACAGAAAAGATTATTAAACTAGAGATCACTCACTGTGCTCTACAAATTGAATAGGTCAAAAATGATTTTGACAAAAATTTTGTTATTTGTAAACTCAACTCTCGTGTCATGATGTCATTATTTTTTCTTCATACGTACAATAGTAGATTCATAGAAAAAATATACTTAGTTGTAGTACACATGAAATACGTGCTGAACAGTAATAGAAAGAGATGAAAAAAAATATAGCACGTATGTTCACATTAAAGAGAAAGAAAAATCGCACAAAAAAAAATTGTCGACTGTTCAGAATAAAGAAATATTTCCAACAAAAATAATTCACCAAAACGGTAGTTAATCATCATTTTTGACTTGTTGAACGATCTTTCCATCAAATTCAACTAACCAGTACACTTAGACTGGTTCTTTTTTTTTTATTTAGCTGTATATACCATAAGAATTAGATTTCTAAATATAACTGATACACATCAACCATTATGCTGTGAAAAAAAGTATGATAAGAAATATTTTTTTTGAAATTATTAGGTAAATGTCACAATAAACTCATTCACTATCATCAATTTGCAATTTTTTCATTTTTTATGATATGCTCTATTTCATGTTGATAATTTCATTTAAATGAGATAATAATCAAGGTAAGATAAAAACAAAAGACTAACAAGTAAGAAATTAATATTAATACAGAATATCTACAATATAAATATTAGATGTAGAAAAAAAAAAAAAAAAAAAAGATTAAATTAGATATTTAATAATGTCATAATATGAGATATTATTTTAGGAAAAAGAAAATTAAAATATTTTATTTTAAGTGCTATTTTTCTTTTTTCATAAAACTAATCATTACATTAGTTAATTAATTTTCAGAGGTGTAACTCAACACTGGACAGCATAGAGTGATTGAGCTCCACAAAAACAAGCGCTGCATAGATAATTTTCAAAAAAAACGAGATCGTCATGCTCTTTTAAATCTTAATGAAATTTCTAACTGTTATTCCTTGCCAAATCGTCATACATTATATCTTTATTATGGGCATATATTCTTTTTTTTTTCAAAAATACAAACAGATCAATAACACACACACATACACATAATATATACAAAACATCTCAACGTACGTCTTTATTTACTCATCTAAATATCAAATACTATATTTGTATATCATTTTTCCATAATCACTTAAAAGTATCAATAATTCTAACATGAATTCATATGCACAACAAACATCATAACATAACTTTCATCCTTTTTTTTTTTTCTTCTTTGCTACTTGTCAACGACAAGATGTCTATGTATATTTAATAAAATAAAATGAAATGAACTTTATAGAAATTGAATTGCCTAAATTACTTTATTACTTTTAGTTGATGAATAGATAATGACTATTAATCACTTCATAGATATAAACAAGATAAATAATTACTTAACAATCAAAGTTGAATACAAGCTGCTCCATTATATTAAGAAGAAATTATCATTTTCTTTTTTTTGTTTTTTTTTTTTCAAGAAAAAAAAAAGGTCAATAAATTAACTATAATCATCCAATGATGATGAATTATTTCTATTATCGAATAGAAAAAAGTCAAGAACCAATACAAAAATTTTTATTCTTCTCTCTTTCTTCTTCTTTTTTCCTCTCATTTTCATCCAATGGAATCTAAGCTTATATTAACATACAAGTCAAACTCTTTCTAAATCTCATTTCTTGTTTAATATTCGTTTATATTCATCATGTCATCAATCTTTCCAAATTGGTTTACTGAAACAATGTTATTTCATCGAAAAACTTATGAATCTGAACAAATGAATGGAGATATAACTGGTAAGAGATAAATATAAAAAATAACTTCAAAAATATTTTTTTTAATTGATCTAGCTGAACGTTTAAAATATCTTCTTGGTATACAATATTATACAAATTTATTTTCTCCATCAATTTTAAATTTATCATCATCAGGAACAAGTGATAAATCTGAAAAAACTGAAGAAGAAGAAGAAGAAGAAGAAGAGGAAGTAGATGAACGAGAAGATGAAACAGAAGAATTTAATTCATATAAATGTAATGATTGTGAAAAATATTTTTCAACATCTCATGGTTTAGAAGTTCATGTACGACGTACACATTCATCGGATTTAAAACCATATTCATGTGATTTATGTTCAAAAACATTTAGTCATTCATTATCACTTGCACAACATCGAATAACTCATACACAAGAACGTTGTTTTCAATGTAAAACATGTGGAAAATGTTTTAAACGTTCATCAACATTATCAACACATTTATTAATACATTCTGATACTCGACCATATTCATGTATACATTGTGGTAAACGTTTTCATCAAAAATCTGATATGAAAAAACATACATATATTCATACGGGTAAATTTTTCTCATTTTTTCTTTTTTGCTAAAGATGATGAACATCATCTCGTGTATTAAGCAAATGTCAAAGAATCTCTCTTGAGATATAATGACGATAGCCATTTTAAACATTGATAGAAAATTTCTTGTTAAATATGCATGTTTGAAGATAGAAAGACGAATAGTTAAAATGTCTTATGCGTTATTTTCACACATTAGTTTTTTTTTCTCTTCTTATGACAGATTCAGTCATCAAGTTTTTTTTTTTTTTTTTTTTTTTTTTGGATAGATTCAATTCATTTTATAGCCTTTTATTCTCATGAGATGATTGAGCGGATCCTGATAAGACTTATCATTTTTTCTTCTTCTTCTTCTTCTTCTGCTTTTGTCTATTTGTATTCATCCGTAAACAATTAGAATTGAAATAACAAGGGAAATTGAAATATATTTTTTTCTTTATTGTTTTTCTTCTCATTTTTAGGAGAAAAACCTCATAAATGTATTGTTTGTGGTAAGGCTTTTTCTCAATCATCAAATTTGATTACACATAGTCGTAAACATACGGGTTTTAAACCATTTCAATGTCATAAATGTTTACGTGCATTTCAACGTAAAGTTGATTTACGTCGTCATATTGATACACAACATGGTGCCGAGCATCTTCATGACAATTTATCTTTAAAACCAATACATCATCATTCACATCACAACAGTAATCAAAATGAAATAAATGAATCAACAAATAATAATGGAAAATATGGACCAATTGGTTCATTGATTCAAGAACTTGCTGCTCGACGTTGAATAAAAAGAAAAAAACAAACTGCTACTAACATCAAAACTTTACATGATTATTAGTATTTTTTTTTTTTTTTTTTTTTTGTCTTCATGTTTCTTCTTTCTGTATAAAACGATGATCCATATGTTTAGGGTGTTAAAAATTGAGAGAGAAAGAAAGGCGGTGACGAAAGAAAGTGTGAGCAACCATCTGGATAGGATGTGTATGTATCAGAAGAAAAAGAAGAATCTTGATTGAGAATTGCAGACAATAGGTGTATGTGTGTGTGCTAGGTACTGTTTTATTATGCATCACAAATCTAACAGGAGAAGATTATTAATCTCACATCGATTCTGTGACTAGAACTCATTTTTTTTTTACACAATAACAAGAACAGATCTATTAATCACAGAACAATCTATAACTGCTTTTCTTGACAATTCTTTGTTTTGTTTTTATTTTAATGTTCGGTGTTCATTTTTGTGTAGATCATCTTCTTCCTCCTTTCCCCCCCCCGTAATGATAATCTCTTATGTCAAATGAAAAATAAATAAATGCTTGCGGCTTAATATCTATGAGTTGTTCGTATCGCGGCTTGAAATCAAAAGATTACTCTCATGATTCTTCTTCGTTATATATATTTTTTTTTGTTTTTTTTCTTCGGCAGGTGTTGAACGCGTGTATATGTGCAATGATCATCACCATCGTTACAATATGGTGAATTGTTGCTGATCGAATCGTCAAAGTTGACAAGTTGTCTTTACCCTTAAGGCAAAAAAGTGAACAGACAAGAAAAAAGAAGAAAACGAGAAGAAGCAACATAGGACAAAATATAAAATAAAAAATGAAATAGAAAATGCCAGTTGGTTCATATATATATTGCTTCCGGGAAAGGAAAAAAGAAACCTTGCTTGTAAATTTACGATTAAATTAGCAAAATGACAATTAAAAATAATCTATGTATATTAAATATTTCTTTTTTTTTCCCTTCTGATAAGTCTCAATATATGTATATATGTGTATGATAACATTGATCAATAAGTCAATATTTGATCCTTCGTATAACGTAATAACATATATATATCCACTCGAGAGAGAGAGAGAAAAAAGTTGTAGGCGAATAAATGCGATGAAAAAATCTACACACTTGCAAACTCATCTTCCATCATTTGTTCGATTATAGAAAGCAATCATCAACGATTTGAGTCCCATGTGTATGTCGAACAGCAAACGTTTTTTTGCCACTTATTACTATTACTAATGCTTTGCAATAGAAAATCATCTTGACGATGGAATATGTCATATATAAAGTCAGAATGTGATGGTACGACAGTTGATGTCGAGAGATGGAACCATCAGTGATTAAGTTAATCAAACGCGTAATAAAACACGATGATTACATTTTCTCGTCGACATAATGATAAAAATTATCTTTATAAATAAAAAAAAAAAAAAAAAACTTATCCAATCTATTGCACTTATGTATTTTCAAAGAATAAAAATTTTTTAAATAGACTCTAAATTAAATTGTCGAAAGAAAATTAAAACAAAAAATTATTTATAAAAAATTATCAATTGAAACATTATATTCAAATCATAAAATATAATTTTCATACAAAATAAATCATCAATTGAAGTTGTACTATTTTTTTGTTGTTTCTTATAGTTAGTAACATTCAATATGCATCACACATCCACAGTAGTCTTATCAAAAGTTCTAACAATTAGTTAAACAAAAAAATGGATAATGAATTCGATCGATAGTATTTTAGGAATACATGTAAAGACAATTCACGATGAACTTACACAACAGCATTGAAATCTAACGCGTCATCATATAGAATAGTTGCAAGGTGGATAAAATGTTTTCAAGAACGAACAGAAGTTGTCAATGATGACTCTCGATCTGATTGTTCAATATCCGAATTTTCAGATGTAAATATTGAACTGATACGACAGGTTATCAACAATGATTCATATTCAACTTATGATGATATTATAGCTGAGATTTTTCTTTCTCTCTCTCTTATTGTACAATAGAATAAATTATTCATGATTGTCTAAAGATGAGAAAAACAAAATTATCCTGAAAATTTTGGAAAACTTCGTAATGGATCACGACAATTATGTAATATTATTATAGGTGATGAGACATGGATTGATCATAGGCAGATTGGGCACAAATTTGGATTAGCGAAGGTGAATCAACAATGACTGTTGTTCGCCAAAGTAGATTTAAACGAAAAGCTTTGTTTTCTATATTGCTTAAATCAAAGGGTCCTGTTTTTTTATACATAGGGTAGATAAAGGTAAGACTATTGATTACAATGTTTGTATTGAAAATTGTTTCAAGCCTATTGTCAACGAAATATAGCAACAAAGGAAATTATCAAGTGCAACAGATATAAAACTGTTTCATGACAATTCGCTAGACCTTGCATCATGTGATTTTTTATTGCTAAATGATTATATCAAGCACAATTTAACTGATCAAACAAATGAAAAATCATTGGCTCGTACGATTTCCAAGACATTTAAAAATATTCCTAAAGAGGAGTTTAAGAAAAAAAAGAAAACATTTGACAAAATGTTAGAAAGAATGAACCTTTGTGTAAATAATTATGGTGACTATTTTGGATATCTAATAAAACTGAATTAAAAATATCTCTTTATTTTTCTATTTTTATTTAATGTTATCAGAACTTTTGGTCAATCCTAAGTAAAAAAAATCATCAAATACATACTTTAATTTAAAGTTTGTTTTTCAACAAAGATTTGGAGAGTATAACAACTCAAATCTGATTTTTCAGTAGTCAAAATTCTAAAATAAAATTTTTTTTTTGATTATACAGAGTGATAGAACGGCTAATTCTCTAGAAAACGAGATGTCTTTAAGGTCTTCATAACATTTTTTAATTGAACTACATCAATTTTAAGAAAAGCACAAAAGTTCTTTTTATCTCTGTTTCTCATAAGAAATGTGCATTGTGGAATTTTATTTTAGTTTGATTTTAAAAAGTATAAGATGAAAAATAGTACCAAACAAATAAAAAGGTATATGGATGAAATCTGTTTTTTTTTTTAACAGTTTGAACAGAACAGTAGAAATTAGATGATAATTATTAAAATAAAATTTTTCGAGAAAGCAATTAAAGCAAGGACGTTTTTAATGAAAAAGTTTATGTATTTATTGATTACTTCAATAAATACATTGTGAATATTAAAAAAAAAGAAAATATCGCCAATTTTTGCAGTACTTGTTTCAAGATGAACATATTTTTAATTATTTTCAATACTAGAAACGACAATTTTCAATATGTCAGTTTATGATTAACATCTAATGTCTCATAAAATAAACAAAAAAAATCTTAAATCAGTCAGAATTTTTTAAAATCCAGTTGTATTTAGGTTAATGATCAGAAATAACCGATAAATTCTTAATTTTGATGCAGTATATCACCTCTAGTTCTCTATGTTGCTTTTTAAACTATATCATAAGATATTTAGTAAGAGCACAACTGATTTTTTATTTTCATCAAATTCAATGATCGATTTTTTACATATTTTTGACAATTTGAATGCGAGATTGATCAGATATTCTAAGCAAAAAAACCAAGGTAACATTTTTAAACAACAGCTTTGGGATATTTCCTCGATCGATTTCTTTGGAAAACTGCTCGGTCTCAGCGATATTTACTCTTTGCTCGTTAAATCTTCTATGTCCATTCAAATGGTGAACAATTCTCCGTGGGAGTACACATTTACGTTAGAAAAGTTGAAGAAGTCTCTATCTCAATACGCAGAAGTAGAAAAATTATCTAACAATTTAAACAACACAGGAAATGGAAGGTAATTTATTTCCGAGCCTGTATCTCTCCTTTCAATCTTTTCTTAACTAGATCTGGATGAAGTTCCTCTTACCACACGAAAGGTTCTTTTGGATAAAGAAGAAGAAGCAGAACAAGGAGAATTTCTTCAGAGAGAAAATGAAGAGTTCAATGAAGCGACACTAACATCAACACATTTATCCTTAAACTACAATGATCTACTTCGTGGAGAATTCCAAGGGAGACTAGTCATTCGCAAAATTGCTGAACACGACTTGGATGATCCTACATTCTACTTGAGAGAGAAGTTAGTTGATTTATATAGAACAAATGCAGAAACAATTCTTTGTATCGATATATATGGTATTAATTACATGTTTCGACGATTTGCCTGATCTAGTTTTGATCGAGTTGTTCCCATATCTGTCATCCACTGATATTGTCTGGGGACTGACTCTTCTTAATCATCGTCTGACAATGCTAATCATGGAACGAGGTTAGTTCTAACATATTAATTCTCCAAAAAATTTCCCCAAAACTGTTTTTTCTTCGCCACTCACAAACCAACTTTATTTGACACAAAATATACAGTGGTTTGCAAAAAGACTTGGAACAAATGTTTAGCCTGTATTATAGCGTAGTTCAATTACTTTCAAAAAAAGATTTTCTTATTTAATAAATATCAGTTCAGAGTCGTAGTATACATAATTCAATATTTTATTTATTCTACTTTTCATTCGGTAACCAAGGCACATTTGTTTTTTTTTGCTGCGAATAAAATTGATTACAACATTTTTCAATATTCATACTTGAAAAAATTCAATTAGCGTTAGATTGTGATTGTGAAAACAATTAATTCACATTGTGTACACTATTTTTCACCCAATTCTATCGATACGATCTCGTTATGTTATTTAATAAGTTGACGTGATGCGCGGCTGAATCTGGAATCAACTATACTTTTTCGGTTGGTGACTGTTCACTATTCTACAGAGTATTGAATTTTGAGTTTTTGAAAGTCCTAACTGATTGTAGACAGTAGTACTTTTGTGAGGTATGTTCAGATTTCCTAAAAAGAAAATTACCCAAATTTCTGAAATTTCCATCAGCTCGATAATTATATAGTAGTACAAATCAACGGTTTTTATGCATATTGGAAATTTCAAAAATTTTAGAAATTTCTGTAATTTCAGAAATTT